GAGAGAGAGAGAGAGAGAGAGAGAGAGAGAGAGAGAGAGAGAGAGAGAGAGAGAGAGAGAGAGAGAGAGGAGAGAGAGAGAGAGAGAGAGAGAGAGAGAGAGAGAGAGAGAGAGAGAGAGAGAGAGAGAGAGAGAGAGAGAGAGAGAGAGAGAGAGAGAGAGAGAGAGAGAGATAGAGAGAGAGAGAGAGAGTAGAGAGAGAAGAGAGAATGAATTAAAAAAAAAAAAGAAATTTACTAAAAAAGTTACATGTGTGCATTAGTATCATTTATCTTGTTTTATTCAACGCATTAATATGATTTATACTATCTACCTACCATTCTAACGCGCTTGTATATTGTTGGGGTGAGCGATTTGAAAAAAAACAACTTTATCAGTGAAAGAGAGATAAAAAAAAGTAAATGTATTGTCAAGGTGATTTGCATACCACTTCATGGCCTTGATAACAGGGACAAATATCTGATACCAGAGCCTTGGTCGAAATGATACATACATATACATCTCAGTTTATACATGTATTAATGCGTGAATTTATCCATGCATGGAACAACCTTTACAAATGCATATATTCTCTGGTATATGATTTTGTGTCTGCATGAACGTATGGTTGACGACACACTCACACGCACACACATGACCGCGTGCAGTGAAAGACACGAACATACATTCAGACACATAATTTCGTGCAGGTTTATGTACCTGCGTGAGGTGTTATAGATTCACACATGGATAGATGCACGTCGAAATGTACAGTATTTACATATATAACCCAAAAATTACGCATATTCTCATATATGTGTACTAGTACCCACCTCCGTTCCTTTATCGGCCGGTTTGTTAAGCATATTCATTATACAGACGTGCATATAGACAGAAATTTATACATATATATCATCAGACATGCCTAACTACGAATAGATAGACAGAAAAGAAAGACAGATATGCATTTACTTCTGTGTACATGCAGGATCGTATACATGAATACTCACTGGGTCAATTTTAACAAACTGGCTGTATATCTCCAGTACTACGAACATGCACACAAACACATGTGTGGAATTCATGATGAACAGATTGCAACAGGAACAACGAAGGGAAGGGCAAGAAAACACACGAATCTTCGTGTGTTTGCTTGCCCTTCCCTTCGTTGTTCCTGTTGCACACAAACCCACCCACACACTTAGGCAACAGGAGGCAGGGTCACACAACACACAACAACAACCCCGAATAATCACAGCGAATATCACCTTCCTCTCGCCAATCTCCCTGAACCGATCCGCACAGAATCTGAACCCGCGCGTGCAACAACCCACAACCCACAACACGACCGATCCACAACAAGCAGGACCCGCCGACGAGGAAATAAGCGGTCGGCAGGGATCAGTTCGTCGTCCCTTGAGACTTGGGTCGTCGAGGCGCAATTAGCCGGCGCGTTGCCTCCGAATAGGGGCGAGGTGCTCTGTGGCCACGGGCACGCGGGAGGGGCATCTGACTGTTGTTATTATTTATCATTGTTGTTGTTATATTGTTATCATTGTATTAGCAATTATATTGGTTATTATTATCATTATTATTATTATCGTTATTGTTGGTGTTAAGTAGTAATTAGTTTCATTTATCATTATTTGTTATAATATTAATGATAATAATAATGATAACAATAAAATATAATAATAATAATAATAATATAATAATATTTAAATATAATAATAATAATAATAATAATGATAATAAATAATAATAATAATAATAATAATAATAATATAATAATAATAATAATATAATAAATAATAATAATAATAATAATAATAATATAATAATAATAATAATAATTAATAATAATAATGATAATAATAATGATAATAATAATAATAATATCAATAATGATAATCATTATCATTATTATAGTTTTTTACTACTATTACTATTATTATTATCATTGTTATCATTATCATCATTATCATTCTTATTATCATTATCATTACTACATCAATATAACTATTATTAAGTTATTTCTCTCGAAATTGTTATCATTCCCATTACTGTTACTATTACTAATATTTTCATTACAATTATTATCTTATTTAATCATTGTCAGTATCATTATTATCATTATCACTGAAATTGATATAAACAACAGTATTATCATCATCACTGTTATCATCATTAATATCCATATTATTATCATAGTTATTATTTTTATCATTATTGATATCATCGTCATTATCATTATTATCATCATCATCATTATTACTATCATTACTAATATCATTATTCTTATTCTTATTCTTATTAATGTCATTATTATCATCATCGTTATATCATCCCTTATATAAACATTACCATCATCCTTATCCATCTTTATTACCATAACTATTATCATAACAATAACAACAGCAAAAGCACACCAACCCTAACAGGAAAAAAAAAAAAAAAAAAAAAAAAAAAAAAAAAAAAATACCGGTCGGCGGCGCCCCCCCCCCCAACCAGCAGACCGGAAATGAGACGCGCCTTTCCCGAGCGTCCTTCTGCAGGAGGAATCACCCGCCGGAGGCCGAAGGGCGCCGTCGGGCGAGTCAGGTGAGGGAGGGGAGTCTCGCTGGGGCTTCTGACTCTGGGTTGTCGTTTGGTTGTTTGTTGTTTTTGTTCCTGGCGTTTTTTTGTTGTTTTGTTGTTATTAACTTGCTAGATTTGTTGTTATTATCATTGAAATTGTTTTTGATACTGTTTTTCTTATTATCCTAATCATGATAATAATAGAATTTGTAATGATAATAATGATAATGATAATAAATATCATAATTATAACAATCATCATCATCATCATCATCGTCGTCGTCGTCGTCGTCTACAACATCATCATCATTATTATTATTATTATTATTATTATTATCATTATTATTATTATTGTTTTCTCATTATCATTATTATCACCATCATTATTTTTGTTATCATTAGTATCATATTACTATTTTCATTACTATTACTATCATTACTATCATCATTATCATTGCTATCGTCATTAATATTATTACCAATATGATCATTATCATCATCATTGTTATTGTCATTATCATTACCATCATTATCAGCATTCCTAACATAATCATTATCATTATGGTCATATTTATCAACATCATCATTATCGTTATCATCAATATTGCAATTGTATTTTCTCATATCTGTTTGCAGAATCTTCTGCAAAGAAGAGATTCTTATCCAATAGATTTCCTTTCAAAAGGTGATGTCTCGCTGAGCATGAAAGCAAATACTTGAACTGTGTGCATTTTCCAGGCGGAAGAATTAAATGGAAAGAGAGAACGGCGATGCGCACATAAGCACACGCACACACACACACACACTCACACACACATACACAGATACACATAGGATGAGATAGCAGACAGACAATAAAAGGCCGCGGGTAAATGGCAAACATCCTCTTTCCAGTCGCTCCTCCCTCCTCCTCCTCCTCCTCTCCTCCTCCTCTCCTCCTCCTCCTCCTCTCCTTCCTCCTCCTTCCTCCTCCTTCCTCCTCCTCCTCCTCCTCCCCTCCTCCTCCTCCTCCTCCTCCGACTCCTCCTCCTCCTCCTTCCTCCTCCTCCTCTCCTCCTCCTCCTCCTCCTCCTCCTCCTCCTCCTCCTCCTCCTCCTCCTCCTCCTCCTCCTTCTCCCTCCTCCTCCTCCTTCTCCTCCTCCTCCTCCTCCTCCTCCTCATCTCTCCTCCTTCCTCATCCTTCCTCCTCCTCCTGACCGCGGACTCACTCACCCTACGAAAGCCAAATGCAGCCCTCGAGATGATTCCAGAAGGATTCCTGGCGCGCCGCCCATTCCGCCCATCCCCCCCCCTCACCTTCGGTACTGCGAGGGGCGGCAAGGAGGAGAGGAGTAGGAGGAGACGAAGGAGGAGGAGAAGACGAAGGAGGAGAAGGAAGGAGGAGGAGGAGGAGGAGGAAGAGGAGGAAGGAGGAAGAAGAGGAGAGGAGGAGGAGGAAGGAGGAGGAGGAGAAGAATTAAGAAAGAAGATAAGGAGGAAGGAGGAGGAGAAGAAAAGAGGAGGAGAGGAGGAGGAGAAGGAAGGAAGAGAAGATAAGGAAGGAGGAGGAGGAGGAGAAGTAGGAGGGGAGGGCGAGGAATAGGAGGAGGAGGAAAGGAGGATGGGAGAGGAGGAGGAGAAGAGCGAAGGAAGAATAGGTGGAGGAGGAGGAGGGAAGAAGAAGAGAGGCGAGGGTTGCCGGGGGGGATTAATTCGGGCGCCTCCTGAGAATCTAAATCGGCGCCACAAAGGATTCAGGGAACATCCGGCTCCTGACCCCCCCCCCCCCCTCTCTCTCTCTCTCTCTCTCTCTCTCTCTCTCTCTCTCTACATATTATATATATATATATAATATATATTATATATATATATATATATATATATATATATTATATATATATATATCACTCTCTTTCTCCTTCTTTTCCCCTTCTCCCTCCCCTTCCCTTCACCCTGCTCTCCCTTGCCCCCACTCCCTCTCATTTGTCTGGATCCCCCCCCGACCCCCCCCCCCCCCCCCCGTCGTCCGGATCCCCCTTGTTCAGCGTCTGAGAAAACCCGGAATTTGAATCTTTTGTGTGCCGCCCGGAACGTATTCATATCTCGTCCCTCCCTCTTCTCTCTTGTTATTCTTATGTGTTTTCTTAGAATCTCTCTATACATAGAGGATTGATTTACTCCAGTGATTCTTTTTTCTCTCCTTTTTTCCGTGTTCATATTTCCTAATTCGACTTTTTCCGTATATGTTTTTACTTTCTTTAATATTTTTGTTTTAATTTTCTATTTCCAATTTCCATATCATTTTATTTTCTATCAGCATTCCTCCCTTCTAGATTTCTTTTCCTTATTTTTCTTATTATCATATATTATTTTTCATTCCACTACCATCCCACTTTTTTTTAAAATTTCATTTTCATTTATTTTTTCTTCCACTTTATTAAAAATTCAACATGCTCTGTTACACG